CATTTGCAACAACATGGATGGAGCTAGAGGGTATTATGCTCAGTGAACTAAGCCAGGCAGAGAAAGACAAGTATCAAATGATTTCACTCATCTGTGGAGTATAAGAACAAAGAAAAAACTGAAGGAACACAATAGCAGCAGACACAGAACCCAAGAATGGACTAACAGTTACCAAAGGAAAGGGACTGGGGAATATGGGTCAGAAGGGAAGGATAAGGGGGAAAAGGGGCATTAAGATTAGCACACCTAATGTAGGGGGGGCACGCAGAAGGCAGTATAACACAGAGAAGACAAGTAGTGATTCTATAGTATCTTACTACGCTGATGGACAGAGACTGTTACGGGCTATGTGGTGGGGACTTGATAATGGGGGGAGTCTAGTAACCATAATGCTGCTCATGTAATTGTACATTAGTGATACCAAAATTTAAAGAATTAAAAAAGTAAAAAGAACAAAGTTAAAAGATTTAAAGTACCTGATTTTAAGATTTGCTATGAAGACTAAAGCAAGACAGCATAGACAGATGCACACATAGAGCAAAGGAACAAAATAGCCCAGAAATAAACCCAAGCAAATATGGGCAATTTCTGATCAATGTGTAAAAGCAAATCAATGGAATGAAAACAATATTTCAAAAAATGATGGACATTCATATGCAAAATCTTCAAACTTAACTATGTACTATATTAATTTAAAATATTCATAGACCTAGGTATAAAACCTAAAATTATAAAATGTCTAAATGGAAACATGGGAGAATATTTTAGTGCATTCTCAACAGGACACAAAGAAACACAAACCATTGAAAAAAGAATTGATAAATTTGATTTCATCATTAAAACTGTCCTCTCTTCAAAAGACACTTAAGAAAATAAAAGCACAAGCAATAGTTAGGGAGGAATGCAAAATTTGTATATGAAACAGACATATCTAGAATATATAAAGAATTCTCGAAACAGGAAGAAAATAAAAAACTTGATTAAAAGAACTGACAAAATAGCAAGTCTTTAGATAAATCAGGAAAAAAAAGAAGATTCAAATTACTACAATCAATGAAAGGGTCTATCACTACTAACTTTACATAAATCAAACAGATTATAAAGTATAATATGAACAACTATTTGCCAACAAAATAGATTAAATGGACAAATTTCTGGAAATGGACAAATACTGAAACCTACTCAAGAAGAAATACAAAATATGAATAGACATAACAAAGAAAATGAATTAGTAATTTTAAAATTTCCCCCACACAAAAACCAAGGCCAAGATGGTTTCAGTGGTGAATTTTATCAAACATTTAAAGAGCTAATAGCAATTCTTCACAAACTCTTCCAACAAACAGGAGGGAATACTCATTGTGTGAGGAGAATATTACCTGAGTACCAAACCAGACAAAGAATCACAAGCTTAGAAAACTGTAGGTCAATATATTTTATGAAAATAGATACAAAAATCCTCAACAAAATAGTAAGAAATCAAATTCAACACATATGAGGATTAGATGCCATGACCCAGGTGAGATTTATCCCAGGAATGTAAAGGTAGTTTAACATCTGAAATTAAATTAATTTCAATAATACAAAAAGTACATGATCACAAAAATAAATATAGAAAAAGCATTTTACAAAATCCAACACCCTTTCATGACAAAACACTTAAACTAGGAATAGAAGGGTATTTCCTCAACTTGATAAAGGATATCTATAAAAAACTCATTGCTAACATCACACTTAATAGTGAAAGACTGAATGCATTCCTCCTAAGATCAAGAATAAGACAAGGATGTCTGCTCTTGCCAGTTCTATTAAACGTGGTACTGGAGAGTCTAGCCAGGTAAATTAGGCAATAAAATGAAATAAAAGGCTCTGGATTGGGAAAGAAGTAAAACTATCTTTGCAGATGACATAATCTCCTATATAGAAAATGCCCAGAAATCTACTTAAAACTATTTAAACTAATTAATTCAGCAAGATTCAAGATCAATATACAAAAATTAATTGTATATCTACATAAGAGAAATGAACAGTCCAAAAATGACAACCCAAAATTTAGGGAATCCTCCAATTACAGTGGCATTGAAAGAATAAAATACTTAGGAATTTAGCAAAATTTGTATTCTGAAAACTACAAAGCATTGTTGAAGGAAATTAAAGGAGACATAAGTAAATGGAAAGCCATCCCAGGTTCATGGATCACAAGACTTACGGTTAAGATGGCAATACTTGCCTAATGATTTACAGATTTAAAACAATCTGTATCATAATTCTTATTTGGTTCTTTGCAGAAATTGACAAGCCAATCCTAAAAATCATATGGAAATTCAAGGGACTCCTGTCAAAACAAAGTTGGAGAACTCATATTCCTTCATTTCCAAACTTACTATAAAGCGACAGTAATCAAGACAGTGTGGTACTGTGGCATAAGACCTGCTACGTACTTATTATGTCACACATAAGAACAGATATACAGCAATGGAGCAGAACTGAGAGACCAGGAATAAAGCCTCATGTGTAAAATCAATTGATTTTTTACATCGTTGCTAAGACAACTGAATGTTGAAATAATAATCCTTTCAACAAATTGGGCTGGAACAACTGGAAACCTACACACAAAAGAATGAAGCTGGACTCCTTTCTTATTCATACCCCAAAATTATTTCTAAAGAGTCATAGATCTAAATATGAGAGCTAAAACTATGTAAAAGAAAACATAGGAGTAAGTCTTCGTGATCTGGGTAGGGAAAACCTTAGCTGTAACTCCAAAAACATAAGTAACCCAAGAAAAAATAGACAAATTGGGCTTTTTAAAATTTTGTACTTCAAAATACACCAGCAAATGTTAGTGTAGGTTCATCAGTTGTAACAAATGTACTACTTTTGTGGCGGATGTTGGTAATGGGGGAGCCCATCTATATGTGGGGGCCAAAGGTATATGGGAAATCTCTGTACCTTCCTCTCAATGTTACTGTGAACCTAAAACTGCTCTAAAAACTAAAGTCTTAAAAAAAAAAAAAGACAACATCAAGAAAACAAAAAGATAACCCACAGAATGGCAGAAAATTTGCAAATTTTTTTTGAATGGCAAGATTTGCAAATTATATGTCTGATAAGGATCTAGTATCCAAAATATAAATGAATTCTTATGACTCAGTCATAAAAAGATATATAAACTATGTGAAAAAAGGACAGGACAAAAGATGTGAATAGACATTTCTTTAAAGAAAATATATAAAATGACCAAGAAGCACATGAAAAGATGCTCTATTTCGTTAGTCATTGGGGAAATGCAAATTAAAACTGCCATGAAACACTACTTCCCACCTATTAGGATAGCTATTATAAAAAAAAATAACAATGTTCAGTGAAGATGTGGAAAAACTGGAGCCCTCACATACAGCTACTGTTAATGTGAAATGGTGCAGCTGCTTTGAAAAACTAGTTCCTCAAAATGTTAAATAGAATATTACATGGCTCAGCAATTCTACTCCTAGGAATATACCTAAGAGAATTAAAACATACATCCACACAAAAACTTCCTCATGAATGTTCAAAGCAGTATTCTTATTAGCAATATAATGGAAACAGCCCAAATGTCCAAATAAATGTGGTCTATCGGCCATGAAAAGAATGAAGTACTTGTACACGTACTTGAAAAAAATGCTAAGTAAAATAAGCCAGTCAGAAAAGACCATATATTGTATGATTCTATTTGTAAGAAATGCCCAGAACAGGCAAATGATAAGTCATAGCTAATGGCTAGGGGACTTCTTTTTGAGGTACTGAAAATGTTCTAAAATTGGTTGTAGTGATGGTTACACAACTGTGTGAATTACTAAAAACCACAGCGTTGTGTGCTTTAAACTGTATGCTATCTCAATAATAGTTAAATAAGGCTTAAAAAGTGCATATCAGATTTGAAATGTACTCAAACTGGTAGACACAAGTTCTTAAAGACACTCAGCACATATTAGCAATAGCTTAGCAGCATTGCACATAAAGAGTGATGAAAACCAACTTTAGACTTATGTCTTTCTTTAAAATATAACTTTTATGTGTATGCATTCAAAGGTCTGGAGAAGTTCTGACAAAGAAAACAAGAGTTACAAACGTACCTCAGAGAAACTGCAGATTGGGTTCCAGAATACCACAATAAAGCCAGTATCGCAATAATGAGAGTCAGATGAATTTTCTGGGTTGCAAAGCTATTGAATATGCTTACCATACTAAATAAGATAGTAGGCAAACAGGCTTTAAAGTTACAAATAAATCTTACAATAATCTTAGATCCCTGATCATCTAATATGCACATAGCATTGATACTGTTCTATACTCAGGAGAAATTTTAGAGCCTTAATTCTCATTTTGCTTTTCCATATATCTAATGTTTACTTTTGAGAAGTGGTAATGAAGGGAAATGTGGGCTAGATCTGGAGAGAAAGAAGACTAAAAGTTTGTTACTTTGAGGAAAAGGTTTATTACTAAACCAGAGTAATTTTTAAATCCAGTTGAGTTTTTTGATCACTACATGGTCCCCTTGTTAGGCAGAAAGACAGATATAAGTGGATAGAGGGAGAAAAAGGCCAGTGGAGCCCACTAAAAGGGACTCAAAGAGTTAGCCAGATAAAACCAAAGAGCCAGAAAGGACTCACAGAGTTAATGAGTTGAAGTTTCAAAGGTAAGAGTGACTTGGAATGTCCAGATATTCCCCAGATAAAGAAAAGCATCAGAGCCCATGTCTTCATTGTACCAATTAGATCCTGCCATTGTAAAATCTACTTAGCCTGCAAAAAAGGCCCAGCTTATTCTTTAACTTAATTTATATGCTGTTTTTCCTCTTCTTCCAGCCCCTTAATCAAGTAACTCTGTAACCAGGACAGAGGATAGACCTCCAAAGTGTAAATAAACCTATGTGGATAAAGAATGAGATCAGACCAATACAGTCACCTAAATAACCTTATTTATTTACTTTTTGGCTTAAAACAATAAACATTTATTACCTCACACAATTTCTGTGGGTCAGGAATCCAGGAGCAGTTTAGCTAGATGGATCTGACTCAGGATGCATCCTGAGGTTTCAGTCAAGATGTTGGCCAGAGATGTAGTCCTCTGAAGCTTGACTGGGGCTTGAGGTTCTGCTTCAGGTAGCTCACAAGCATTCTTGTTAAAACAGTGCCAGTTGTTGGCACTCAATTCCTTACCACATGGACCTCCCCATTAGAATGGAGTGTCCTCTCATGACATGGCAGCAGGCTTCCACTGTAGTGACAGATCCAAGAGAGGACAAGATGGAAACTGCAATATCTTTTATGAAGCAACACTGTTATTTTCACAATAGCCTATGCATTGCACGAATCAGTCCTATTCACTGTGGTAGGGGGCTAAATAGGGACATGAATATTAGGAAGCAAGAATTACTGGGGGCCATCAGGGAGGCCGGTTACTACAGTCTGCACTCTGGCCCCCAATGATTCATGTCCCTCACATGGAAAATGCACTCACTCTTTCACAGGCTCCCAAAAGTTTGATCCTGTTAGAGCATCAGTTCCAAATGCAGAATCTTACCATGTACATGAGGGCCCAGGGCATATGAAGCTGAGTATAGTTCCTTCAGTATATAGTTCTTTTTTTATTATTATTTTTTATCTTGATATCATTAAAGTACAATTACTTGAACAACATTATGGTTCAGTATATAGTTTTAAGTATAATTCAAGTGTAGTTCCTCTCTGGCTGAAGATCTGTAAATCAAAGATACAAGTTATCTGCCCCATCTTACACCCTATATATGGTGGTGGGAGAGGCACAGGATGACTGCTGTAGACACTCCTACTCAAAACAGAGAAAACAGGAGGCACACAAAGGTTTCTGCTTCACAGCACTTCTTAAGTCCATTCAGGTAAATGTTGAAATTTCCTCAATTACAGGGCAGGCCTCCTCTTTCCTGAGAATGTTCTCCAAGGCTCTTGGCTCTATCCTCTGAGTCTGTGGTTCTATCCCTTGATTCTTCCCTCCTGTTCCACTAAAGGTAACCCATATTTTGTAGCTGAGAGTTGGTCTCAGCCTGCTTACTGCCTATCAAAGTTTAGGAGTCTAAAGGCCTCATTCATTTTGTATGGTTTCTGTCCACTCAGTCCAACCTGACAGTGTTTCTGCTGGTATTTTAAATAACCCTAATCTTAAGACAAAACTTTAAAGGAATTATGAATCACCTGTACACATCATGCCTTATGCTGACCCTTACCTGAACAGCCTGATAAAACCCCAAACCCTAAACCCTTAAGTGCGCCTCCTCTCTGAGGTTGTCCGCAAGTCTTCACTCCTGTCTCTCTTTAAATCCAGATAAGTAAGGAGCTACTAAGAGCTCTGATTTGGGCTTGCAAGTTCCCATGGCCTGGGTGACCAGACAGGATGGCAGCTGTACAATCATGAACTTTACTTTGGGAAGTCCTCAGAACAGAATCTCACTCCATGTGCTCTGTGGCTCCCCTGAATCCTGGGGGTGTTCGGGACTCAGTTCCCACCCCATGCAGATTCAAGCTGACCCTGGACGCCAGGTGACCCTGTGGGCAGGGGATTTGCCCAACGCTGAGCAGAGTTCAATGAGCTTCCCTTCCCTGCCTGTTCTTCCTTGCTGTCTGCCATTCCCTGCTAATCTCACTTTAATGAATTCCTTCCTTACCTGTCTTTCTGATTTCCCTGCGTCTATGAATCGAATTTCTTCCCAATGCCTTCAGTTATTTCAAAGATGTTGGGTATCAGGAAATAATATTAAAATCCCTTCACCAAGGTAATGAAGCTACTGAACCAGCACACTGTGGTGGGACCACGCAGGGGAAGGCATGCCTGTCTCAGGAAATCCACAGGAACAGGTCCTCCCCAGGAACGGCTTTCTAGGCCCACAGGGCGTACCCTCCTGTCCCTCACCCCCCCCCGCCCCACTGCCACGCCTTGGCCGCAGCACTTCCTCTGGTCTGCAAAGCCCTCTTCCTGTCTTGGGGCCTGAAAGCCTGCTTTTCGAGGTTTGTCTCCGCCGCGCAACCGCAGCCCAGGCCCACCTTTCCCTTACGGGGCTCCAGGACATGTTTGAGCCTTTCATTTTACCTGCACGGACGCACACACGGTCCCGTTCCGGTTTCCTAAGCCTCGTGCTATTATTTCTCATCCGGCTGCCCGCAGTGGGGACATTACGGGGTTCGGAGTGGGGCGGAGCTGACATCCCAGGCCGCTGTCCAGGTGGCCCGCCCGCCGCCCTAACGCCTCACGGAGTCACCGCCCCCCGCCCCGCCCGCCGTTCCGGTCGGGGCCGCGCCGCGCGCTCACGTGGCTGGAGGACGGCGGCGCGGAGGCGCAGCCCCGGTGAGCGCGCTAATGGGGACGCGAGGGGTCCTGCTCGCCCAGCCGGGGTGCCGGACCCCATCTCCACGGTGGACCCGGGCCCGGGCCTGGCAGATGGGAGGCGCGAGTGGGGAGCACCCCGGGCGGGGCTGCGCGGATTCAGGAAACTCAGCGAGTGTGGACAAGCTGGTAGACTGGCTCCCTTTTCCTCTCATGCTATCTTAATGGCCTCTTCCTGACATTGAAAAAATAAGAATAGATTTGAAAGCCTGTTTCTGCCTCTTTCCCCATCTCCTGTATTTATTTATATTTCTATTAATTTTGAGCCTTAAAGCTACAGCACAGTGAATGCATCGTATACTGGATTGGATCCTGGAACGGAAAGACTTCAAGTAGAAAAACGGAGGCAATCCTAATAAAAGTCTGTGGTTTAGCGAATTGCACATATCATTGTTAATTTCTTAATTCGGGTAAATGTACCCTGATAAGAACACTATAGAGAATTTGAGTAAAGGGTATATAGGAGCTCTCTGTATGATCTTTGCAATTTACTGTAAATCTATAATTAACATAAAAAGTTAAAAAACAAGCACTGTGCTGCAGGCCATTGTTCACCAGGGAAGGCTCAAGTTATTGTCTCTTTGCCAAGCCTGAAAGGAATTAGGTGGCTGACCAGCTTGTTTGCCAAGGCAGGAGTTGGCTAGTGGGTGGGGATGCTTCTAGTCCCAAGTTTTCTGGGCAGGAGTCTTTTTTCTCCTTCAGTTATGTCTGTCAGATATCTTTGAAACACCTGTTATGAGATACACGTACTGCATTGGGGTGTGTGCAATAAAAATGTAAGTCAGGTAGGAAGTAAGGACTATTAAAAAAGGTATAGTGCAGAGCTGGGAGGGCTCAGAGGTAGGAAAAATCACATCTGGCCCAGGGTAACCAGGAAGACTGGAGGGAGTGGCTGTTGAGGGCCCTGAAGTGAAAGCATACCTGGGGTGGAGAATACATCAGCAAAGGCTTGAAGGTGACCAGGCCCCAGGGAGCTGGGTGTTACATGGAGTCACAGAGCATGCCCAGGGAGTATTGCCAGATGAAACGGGATGTGAAAACTGGAGCCTTGTTGTAGAAGACAGGGTGACACTTACTTTAATTATATATGCCATAGGAGCCATGGAATGTTTTAGGGCAACAGAGGGGCATCTTCAGGTCTGTGTGAAAATGACTGACTTGGCAGCAGTGGGATGGCTTTGACTAGACCAATTAGGGAACTACTGTTGTAGCCCAGGAGAGGTAAGCAGAAATGCAGCCAGGGCTCTGAAGTTACTGTGCAAAGGAGGACATTGGGGAGATTTTGAGAGGACTTGGCAACTGAAAGGACCAAAGAGAAGAAAGAGGGGGAAAAATGCCAAAGTTTTGGGCCTGGGTGTTTTGGAGCATGGTTGATGCATCTGCCTGAATAGAGGACTCAGGAGGAGACCAGGGGGTCGGGGGTGAGGAAGGTAATTAATTTGTTTTTGAATGAGTTGTGTTTGAATTGCAAGCAGTATATCCAGCTGGAGATGGGTATTTAAGATTATTTAGGAGCAGAAGCCAAACATACAGAAGGGATGAGAAGAGGAAAAGGTGCCTGAGCGGGCAGATAAGAGGCAGCTGGGGACTCCTGGGTCAAGGAGCCTGGGTCTGGGCCTAGTGCTGTCATGCAGTGTCTCAGCTTCTGCAGACGTGGAGCAGGCTGAGGAGCAAGACAAGATCTTGGATATAACAAATAGGAAGTCACTGGCATCTTTTCAAAGCTTTGTTTTAGTGTAGAAGTAGGATTACCTGCTCACAGTCTGCAATCTCTTCATTCTGTGGCCTTGTCCGGTGGCCAAAGTACTGGGCCAGGACCAGAGATACAGGTTCTAGTTCTGGCTCTGCCACTACCTGTGTAATTTTGGGCAAGCCATGTATTCCTGGACTAGTATAGGAAAACACTCCCATAATAATAACTGGATGAACCCGTTTATTCCTAGATAAAATTTACACCTAATAGTCCATAGAACTAGTGTTCCATGGAGCACACTTTGGAAAATGCTGATATAGAAGAAAAATTTTAGAGCGCTTAAGAACCAAAAAACTTCTTATCCAATCCCCTCATTTAGCGATTGAAGAAACTAATACTAATTATTCTAATGGAATAAACAAATATTTTATTTGCTTATTCTAGAATTTGTTATTCTAATGGAATAAACAAATATTTGGTTTTATTTATAAACAAAACCAAATATTTGGTTTCAAATATTCTATATCAGTGGTGCCTAAAATAACCTTGTTAAAGAGTTTGTCTTAAATCCATTTTGGCAAGTGAAAATAGGCTCTGAAAAGTTAAATGATGTGTCTAGGATCACAGAGCAATGAGTGGTGGAGTGACATTTGAACCCAGACCCGAGTCAGGGACTTCTCTGTCCCGTATCTTGCTGCCTCCCTGTTCTGTTCTGGTTGAATGGAATGTTAGCCAACATCTAATATTTTCCCTTTCTTAGAAAATGTGTTCCAGAAGTCAAGTTTAATTTGACTGTACTACATATTGATTTTAGTACATAAAATGGAGAAGAGAGTACACAGCCAACAGTTCCTGAAGTTACTTTTAAAAAAAGAGTAGAAAATAAATACATACATACATACATACATACATACATACACACATAAATAAATAAATAAAAAAGAAAGCAGCGTTGCACCATGTGAAAGCTCCGTATGTTCAACTCTGAACAGTGAGAGAACATATCCACGGATCCTGAATATATGTGGCACATTAAAAAATATTCTTGGTAATCCCAAAATTGCTTACTCTTTCCTCTTACTGCTTTTTCCTTTGTGTTGACCAATTCCATTTTCTTCACTGCTTGCTGCCTAACCCTGTCCACACCCTCCTGAATAGAGGTGTGAGGCTGCATTTATAAGCAGGAATCTGCACGAGAGGTAGAACACAGCCTCTGAGCGAATTATTGTTTGATTCCATAAATAATTTTCTATGTACCTTGACAAATTAAAAGACAAATTTATTGGAAAATAAACTTGTAAAGGAACCAAAGTTATTTTATACAAATTGGGGGAAAAGTGGGTCCAATAGACTGTTGAGTGTTGCTAAAACTATTTACTTTAGACTTTTACTTTCAGTTCTATTTGATGTTATAAATAGCAGAAACTTGTTTTACACTGGTATCAATCTCATTGAAATTCTGTAAATGATAGAAAGCAGTGGCTAAGAGAGTAACCATGTCTCTGACATCAGGGGTCTGGATTCAGAATCTGGCTTTGCCTAATTAGTTATGTTACTTAACCTCTCTAAGCTTCAATTTAATTGTCTGTATTTAACCAATAATAATAGCATTGTCTTGAGGAGTGTTTGTGAAGATTAAGTGGAATAATCTAAGTACAGCACTTAGAATAGTGCCTAGTATACAGAAGATAAGCAACAGTGCTATTATTACATAGTTTTTAAAGAGTTGTTGCTGATTTAAGGCATCCAGTTTAATAATTTTAATATCTAAGAGGGCACAATTGAGTAACACACTTCTCATCTCCCAATCCAGTAAAAGGTTCCTTTTTTTGTATGTCAAAACAATTTTTCAACATATCATTGAAGTATAATTTATATATAATAAAATGCATGTTAAGTCTGCAGTCTAATGAGTTTTGACAAACCATCGCTCTAGTCAAGATGTAAGGTTTTTCTGTCATCCCAAAAAAGTTTCCTTATGACCATTGAAGTCATCCTTCCCACCCCAGGCAACCATTCATCTGTTATCCATCATATACATTAACTTTGCAGAATTTCATGCAGGACTGTTAGCATGTCTGTAAGCTTCATCCACATTGTGGCATATATCAAGAATTAATTCTTCTTTGCTGAATATATTCTGTTTTATGGACATAACACAATTTGTTTACCTGCTGGTAGACATTTGGGTTGTTTCCAGCTTGGAGCTAATTTGAAAAATGCTATGAACATCGATGCATACGTCTTTGTATGAACATGTTTTCTTTTTGAGCAAATACCAAGAATGCAATTGCTGGGTCACTTGTTTAAAAGAAATTGTCAGACTTTTCCTGGGTGGTTCTATTATTTTATTCTCCTGTCAACAATGTTTAAGGGTATGTGGATGTCCTCGTCCTTGGCAACACTTGGAATTGGCAGTGATCTGTGATAGAGACTCACTGTAGTTTACATCTTCCTGTTGTGATGGCTAATGATGTTGAGCCTCTTTCCACCCATGTATCTTCTTTTATGATGTATCTGTTCAAATCTTTAAGGGCCTTTCAAACATTGAAAATATATGATGTACTTGACCTTCTGTTTGAACAGAAACCCCTTCAAACAGGATCAGATGTATGCTTTTAACAATGGAAGAACAAGAGATCTCAGCAAGAAGTGCAAGACAGATTTAATAATCTTTTAAAGTCCTGACAAGCAACTACTTCAACAGCAGGGTACTTAGAAAAAAAGTCAGGTGTGTTTATTTTCCTTTTTTTTAAATGAGTCTTGAGAAAAGTGTGAAAGATTTCTAAACTATAGCAGAAGAGTTGTTGTGAAATGCTTGGTGATGAAAGTCCCTGTTACTGTACCAAGGGGACAGGCTGAGCATTTCTGGTGCTGGTCAGCCGCCAGGCAGGTGCCTGCAGCCGGAGGGGAGCTGCATGACGGGGTTTCTCCTTGGGCGTTTCTCCCTGGAAATGTTTTCTTCAGGCTCGAAGGATAGGTAGTTAGCTCCTCAGTACCCAGTGTGGAACCTTGCTGAGGAGGCTGTTTTATTTTTCTTCCCTAAAGGCAAGTACTTCAGTTTGTTTATTCCTTCCTTCCTTTATTCATTTATTTAAAAAGTATTTATTGAACACCAAGTATGTCTCGGATTCTGTTCTAGGCATGGGGAATGTAGTGGT